AGAGACACAAAAGGCCACTACATTATGATTAAGGGAACAATACAACAAGAAGACATAACAATCATATGCACCAAGTGAAGGAGCACCAAAATATATCAAGAAATGACTGTCATTTATGAAAATATATATCAGAGCAAATACATACATAGTAGGAGACTTCAACACGCCACTCTCTACATTGGGCAGATCAACAAGACAAAAAATAAGCAAGAACACTAAAGCTCTGAACAGGAACCTAGACAACATGGGTCTGGCAGACATCTATAGAATAATGCACCTCAGAAAATCTGAGTACACATTTTTCTCAGATCTACTCAGATCATTCTCTAGGATTGACCATATACTGGGTCACAAGATAAATATCAATAGATACACTAAAATTGACATCATACCAACTATTTTCTCTGACCATGAAGGAATCATGTGAAAATCATGAATCATGAAGGAAATACACCATGTGAAGAAGGCAAGAAGCCCACCTACCACATGGAGACTGGAACCCACACTACTGGAGGACTGTTGGATCAATGAGGAGATCAAAGAAGAAATTAAAAAATACCTTTAGAAGAATGACAATGACAACACAACTCTCCGAAACTTATGGGACACATTAAAAGCAGTTATATGAGGAAAATATATAGCAATACAAGTTCACATAAAGAAACAAGAAATAACTCAAAGAAACAACCTAATCTCCCACCTTAAAGAACTGGAAAAAGAACAACAAATAACCCAAAAGGCAATAGAAGATAGGAAATAATAAAAGCCAAATCAGAAATAAATGAAATGGAAGTTAGGAAAACAGTCCAAAAAATCGATGAAACCAAAAGTTGGTTTTTTGAAAAAATTAACAAGATAGACATTTTATTCCTACTTTAAAGGTTTTATCTTAATAAATACATCCTCACCAAACCTCCACAACAAAGCACATATATAATATACTTGTATACTATTAGCTATTCCCTTTTCAAAATAGGCAATAAATACTGCTTTCCAATCATTTCTTGCCTCTATCTCCAGGAGTGACACTCTCTTCCCCTATATATACCTGGGTTGGTTTTTTGTTTGTATGTTTGTGGTAACGTTGGTTTACAGCAGTGTATGTGATTCCAAAGTACAAGTTCACACCTTTTCTGATCTACCACACCACATTCACCAGCAAGGCTATGAGAGCCTTTACATAGACATTACATAGTCTCCACCATCAGCCACTGGGCCACTCTTCCCTTTGACAACTTCTCACCCTCCGTGCAGTCTCATCACCACATTCCTCATCTCCTGTCATTACCTCTCCCTTTACGTCCCCCTGGCCTATGAAAGACCAACTTTGGCTAAACCTAAATCTTGATCTACTTTGTGCCTGCTCCTGGATGTGACTGGAAAAAGATCAGCCAATATGTACTTCCTGATTGCCCTATGCTAATCATTTCACACTCATGTCCAAGATGATTTGTTCCATAATTTATTTCTCTGCTCAAGTATCTTATAATACTATAATGAAGAATATATCTTTCACCTGTCTATTCCTTTTCCTTTTTCCCCAGGTTTTTGCCAGTTTGTGTTTTATCTTCCAAAGACTGGTTAATTCTTGCTTGACTTCGTAAATTTTACTTCCATGGAGGTGAGTTAACAGGAAATATTATTTTGATCACAATTTCTATAGTCTCCTGGGTAATCATTTTTCTAGTCATATTCTAGATAGATGACAGGTGCTCCCCCCACCCCCAATTTTATTTATATGTGGTGCTTTTTTTCTATCATAGTAAATTTTTCTTGACACTGTACTCATACCCTTTTCTTACTTGTCATTACATAATTTAGCAGATTTCCCTGGTAGGAGAGGAAAGAGTCCTCAATTGCCTTCCACACCTCACTACTGTTTATTGTATAGACAGATTGCTTCCCCCATATAGAGCTACTTTATATGATAATTAAATAGCCCCATATCATATGTTTTTTTCTGATACAAATTATCCAGGAGGTCTTTTCCCCCTGAGTTATGATCAAGCCATTTCCTACCCCCATTTTGGGGGGAAAATGATAGGGAAATATTTTGCTCATCAGAAAGATTCCTTTCCTCCTGCATACCTATTTTCTGTCAGTACTTTTAGAGAGCTGCTGGTACTGGAATTTCATCACTGAACATGTCTTCCTCTCTGCTTTCCTCTGAGGTCTCTGTGCAAGTTCAGGAGTTTTAATTTATGACTATATGTTTCCCACTTAAGAAATGCTTAAAAATAATTTCTGGGTGGGAAGCGGAGGTTAGAATTCTTTTTGTACCTTTATGTGATTTCAGGAGATGAAAATGAAGGATTTACTAGTTACCATCATATAAAATTACATTATTCATTTTTAAGTCTAAATTGGATACTATTAATTTGTAGCCATTCTCCACTAATATAATTATTTGCCACTGTATTTTTCTAATTTCTCATTCTATATCTTGTAAGTTTTGAATATTTCTTAATATTCAGTTAGAAGTACTTAAAATACTTCAGCATGTTTTTTTTTTTTTGCTTCCTATTTTATTTACAGATTTTATAATTTCGCATTTAAAATTTTACTTTTAACTTATTGCCAGTTTAGTTATATTGTGATCCTAGAAACCAGTCTATCATTCCTTGTAAAATTAAAACATAATCTATGACTAGTACATAGTTAAATTTGGTAAAATTTTTATGTGTGGTAAAGAAAAACAGAAAAGTCATAGCCCTGCTAGTTGCAGGTTCTATGTATGGCTATTAAAGTAAGTGGCTCTTTGTGTTGTCAGTCTTCTGTATCTTAACTTGTTTTTATCTGCTTGACCTATGGACCAATGAGTGTCATTTGTGAAACTTCCCCAAAACGTGCAGTAGATTTTTCTCCCTGTGTTCCTAGAACTTATTTCTGTATTTTCAAGCTCTCCTATTAGTTACATATATGTTTAGTATTACTTTACTTATTAGAAACTTAATTAAGCATTGTTTAGTGATCCTCTTTTACCTACACATTTTATTTATTCTTCCTTAAGAACTCTTTAAAAGCGCTTTTAGAAAAGATTTGTTGATGGTCAACTATTTTAGTTTCTTTGAAAATATTATTTTCATGATCTTGAAAGATGGCTTTGTTATGCACATGGCATTCATTTGACAATTACTTATTCTCATCCAATTTTCAGGATTTTATCATTGGTTTGAGAAGTTTGTTGTGCAAAATTGTTTTATCTCTGTAGGTAATTATGACATTTCCCCTATATTTTTAAAAGAATATTTTGCCATGCCATCACAGTTTCTGTGGATTCTTTTTATATGTGAATATAACTGAGCCTTTACTTTTCTGTATCTGGCTTGACTATTCATTTCTTTTAATTGTAGAGGCTTTTTTTCCATCAATTTCATTAATTTTTTTGATGGAAGTGATTTAAAATAAAACCAAGAAATTTGTTTTAGAGAGCCCTCTAAAACAAGGAGAATCACCACTGTGCTCAGACTCATCTATGCTGTAAACTTTCAAAATAAGATATTTTAATCATAACTACTGGCAGTTAATGTTTATTTCCACTCCACATTCTTTCCTTTATGTTTTCTTGATGTTGAGTACTAGAGCATTAGAGAAGCTGTAGCAACTAGGGGATCTGGCTTGGCAGAAACTGACAACTTGAATTCAACAGAATATATTCATGAAATTTACAATCACTTCTATGTATTGGTAAATTATTATTAACCATTGTAGCAATATTTTCCAGGAAATAACCTATTGCCTACCATAGCTAGTAATTTGGCATTATACCACAAGGTATAGCATCCAACTAAACTCCATAATACATCACTATGATGATGATCTTGATAGTAAACTGATAATGAGGATTACTAGTTCAATGAAAACGAAATATTCTTAAAACTTCTACTCATAAATACACTTGAGAATTCACAAATAGCTATCTTCCCATTGGCTCTTTATGCAATTGTCTCTATGCTCTCACTCTCATACTCCAATTACACATGTATTAGAATTTCACCTATAAATTAATGTATTTTTATTTCCTTGTTTTTCTGTGCTGTGTAATTTTCTGTATGTCAGTTTTCTAATTCACAAATATTCTCTTTATCTATGTCTAATCTATTACTTAACTACTTATTTGAATTTTAACTTTTAATTAAATGTTTTTATTTGTAAAAGCACATTGTCTTAATTTTCCTAACCATTTTTTCAGTGCTATTGCTCTTTTTGTGATTCCTTTTTTTTTTTAAATTTGAACATCACATACATAATTACATCTTATTTTATACATGATCATTTGAATAGCACTTAAGGATATTGTTTCTCCTTCTAGGATCCAAGGGTACTAACAGCCCTAGAATTCCATAGCCTTACCAAGGATATTGATTTAATGTCAAAGTAGGAACAGGCCAGCATGCCTGTTAACATATGCTTTTTTTTTTTTTTTTGACTTTCAGTTCATTCTTTTCCCTATGTATATGTTGTAGCTTATAGGTTCCTAAATTTTTTTTTTTTACTGCCTGTTCATTCTTTCCCTATATATATGTTGTAGCTTGTAGGTTCCTAAATTTTTTTTTACTGCCTGCAAACCTAAAAATATTATGACATCTATATTATGCAGAAACCAAATGTATAATAATAGATATAGTCCTCTGGATACCTTGCTAGAGTCTTTCAAAAACTGCTTCCCTCAATTCCTCAGTTCAAAGCACTCTTTTAGAGTATCAACTGGATACTATAGGTAGTTTTTCCCCTGCTGATGGGAGAAATTGTGAAAATGACATAATCTTAATCTCACATTGCTGTTATTCAAAGTTTTTGAGACCATTCAGGATTGTTAACAGGCCAGATATGAGCTTGGCTGGGATCTTTCAAGTTTTGGAATTGAAAATGTACAAATCAAGCAGGAAATGTGGGGGCTGTGAAAAAAAAAAAAAAAAAACCAACAACAAAAAACATAAACCAGGGCAATAGCCAGCTTCAGCCCAATCATCAGATGGGACTCACCAGACGCCCATTCATCAGAAGGCTTCTGGACTTAAACCTCTGCAGAATTTCAAAATGTTTATGTCAGGCCTCTTGCCCTGCCTCTGGTACTGCCTGCTGACTGCCATCATTGACCTACACATGGTGTCGCTGAAAGAGCTGTCTGCATTTTGAAAAGCTGTAACACTGAAGCCTCTGTCACTATCACCTGCTGCACTATCACCTGCTGAGCGGTGCTGATGGTCTCTGCTGACCTGTGACGAGCACTGTTGAATATGTCCCACTGGTGTGGGAGCTGCTGCCTCCAGGAACATCATCACAATACTACCATGCTGGACTATGTCAGTCAAGCCAGATGCCATCTCCAGGTTAGCAGCTACCTGGTCAATGGACATTCAGACCATGAGGTTCTTCTCAATTTACAGCCACCTGCTGAGAGAGAGCAGCAAACTCTAGTAGATTTTATGTCTTCCTGTCAGTGCATCTTCAAACTCTTTCAGCAGAAGCCTGAATTTGCTAGTCTTCCACTTTCCCCAGACAGTCCAGTTATACATTTCTCAAGGGCTGCCACTTTCAAAAGGACCTGAGTTTGTTCTTATTCAGAAGTTTCTTTTCTTCTACCAATTTGCCACTTGAGAGATAAGGTCTTCCCAAACTAGTCATTTTGTTTTGTCCCTTTTCCAGTTCCAAAGGCAACTGAGCAATGGATGTCTGTTTTGTATTTACTTCAAGATCTCCCTGGAAAGCAGCCATTTTCTAATGGCATGTGGCTCAATTTCCTTTTTTTTTTTTAAACTCCATTGACAACATCCAACAAAAAGCTTCCAATCCCAGTATCAAAATGAAGAGCGCATAAGTTCATATGCTTCTCTCTCTCCCAACCAGCCCTGGGATTCGATTGGATATTCCAATATAGGGAAGTCATTTAAGTAATTCATGGCAATGCATACCTTGGGGCAGAGTGCCCCCAACCCACTCCAGAAGAATTATTTTTTGCAGTATGTTCTAAGTGATTTCTCAAGATCAAGGATAGTATAATTCACTTGATCTCACAGCTGTTCATTAATAAGTTACACAAATGTATAGTCACAGGTTGATGAAACTGAAAAATAACTTAGAAGTAATTTGTCTAATCTGCTTAATACCTACATATCTTAACATTCTAGTAAGTTGTTTGTGCCTGAGTTTATCAAAGAATCACTAAGATGAACTAATATCACCAAGGAACATTTATTCTGCAAGAAAAAAATAATGAACTCAGTGTTTATTGCTAAATTAAAAAAAAATTTTTTTGAGTGCTTAGTGCTTTGAATATTTTTCTTAGAAAACTACTTAATATAACCATTATTCACCTTAATGTCAGTTGCCTAGAATTAGTCCTTCCTTTATTGGATTCCTATGTACTTAAAAATTAATTTGGGGGCCCTTGCTGGTGGTGCAGCAGGTTAAGGCACAACGCTAAGAAGCTAAAGCCACTGCAGCATGAAAACCACTCCCCACCCTGGAGGTGACCCACATGGCGCGGCAGACCTCTCCTGACCCACCCGCTGCTCCCCTCAGCAATGTACTTCGCCAGTCGGCCTTTTCTGCTCCCCACTCTGTCTCTGGTGAATCCTCTCACCCCGCACCTCTGGCCTATACCCCAGTTCTGTATGCATAAATAAATAAATCTTTTAAAAAGTCCTATTAAAAAAGTTAATTTTGATTCTGGAACTCTTTATCCAGATCTTCTTAAAAGGATGTTATTTTGATTTTAACTAAAATGAATGCATCTTTTATATGAATAAATGAATCTTTTAAAAATGAATGCATCTTTTAAATGAATTTAAGTTGTGGAGAAATAATGGCAAAGTCTTAAAAGTTTAGGTATATAAAGCTTATAATCAATGGCATCTATTTGCTGAGGAGGTACAATCCTTAGAAAGAAATACATGTAAAGAACAATATCCATAATTAATTTTTATTGTTATGTCATTTAGGCATATTAACCAATTAGCACAGCATTTCATCTGACAATGGGTGTTTGAGTATATTTTTGCATTTATTATACATACAACTCAAAGACAGTCCTTCATATTTTATAGAAAGTAGTATGAACAGCTGCTTCACAAGAGAAACTCCTGTTTCCTTACACAAAGATGTTTACTGCAACCGTTACTTTATTAGGATACGTTCTTCATCAATAGCTTCTCAAAGACATTCTACAAATCAAGCACTAAGCCCAGGTAAAGTTACAACTGAAATAGAGAAAATCTTTTCAGATATCCTGTTAGATCTTTATTTCAAGAACACAAGAGTTTGTTTGCTTGGGACATTTAGTTACTAGGAAACCTCCTTTTTTTTCTTTTAACCAACATGGTTTTAGATATCAGATACTATAAGAAAGATATTTTTGTAGAAAAAAAAATTACAACACTAAGACTTCTTTGCTAAATGTGCCAATTCATTTTTAAGGACTGTGCTAAATTATAATGGATATTTATTCTCAAAACTAAGTCTCTATGGAAATAAATCTCATAAAAAATAAATCTAGGAAATACTCAAATAGCATAAAGGCAATGTATGGTAAAGAATGTTTTTTTTTTTTTTTAAAGATTTATTTATTTGTACATACAGAACTGGGGTACAGGCCAGAGGCTCAGGGGCGACGAGAGGCTTCACCAGAGACAGAGTAGGGAGCAGAACAGGCAGATCAACGAAGTACATTGCTGAGGGGAGCAGCGGGCAGGTCAGGAGAGGTCTGCCACGCCATGTGGTCACCTCCAGGGCAGGCAGGAATCGAACTCATGAGGAAGTGGCTTTGGCTTCTCAGTGCAGTGCTTTAACCCGCTGCGCCACCAGGGAGGGCCGGTAAAGAATGTTTTTAATGGAAATATTTAATCCTATTGAGAGAATGACCTAAACTAGGCTTGATGCTGTGAGCAACATATACTGGAACAGATAGTTTGGAAAAGAATTGCACTATGTTACCAAAGAATTAAAATGTACATATTTATTTAATAAATTTACTTTAGAATATTGATGCTGTCTGAATCCTTTTAACTTTTAAACTTACATTTATATGTATTTTTCTATTTCTCTGACTTTCACAAATTATTATATTTTTTAAGAGTCATGCATTCATTCATAGACTGATCTTTGAACGAACTGAGATACATATCATGTATAAAGCATTCACATAAATGTGACAATTTGCCTCCAATATACTACTGGGCTATCAATTTATTTCCAAAACAGTGGCATAAAAGCAGATCTTAGATAAAGATTCAATCAAATATCTGGATAAATTCCAGACACATCCAAGGGACAATGATTCTGGTGACTTGCAGTTAGCTAACTAAAAAAATAAACATTTTTATTATGGAAACTTATTTTATGCAAATGACAAAAATTTTGTAAAATGAAATTCCCTTTTCTTCTTCTCTTCAGAAGAGAGATATTCTATATTTTGCTATCTCAAAGGCTCCTTGATTCACAATCTTAATTTTATTATCAAGTAAGTGTATCTCTTAATCACAGCCTTAGTCAGAAAATATAAACCTTAAACTTTATGGGCTAAATTTTTGCAAATGATAGTATAGTAAGCATTTTTATACTGCATCCAGAAATGGAGGGGAGGGTTTTAGAAGAATAAGTCAAATAATTCCCTTGGTTAGTAATAATGTAGCTTTTACCATTGAATTAAATAAATCTTGTCATTGTATCCTAAAATGCATTTCCCTTCCCTCTGTGTCAGCTACCATAAACATGCTGAATAGTATTTATTTAATTAAAATAAGCTTAACATAAATTAGCTTTGGGAATTTCTAACAGGTCTTCATTTACTTTGAGCTAATTGGAGATGTGCTTAGAGTATCATAAAACTAGGGTTAGGAGTCACTTAGAAGTTGAACCTATAACATACATCAGTCACTCTAATTGCCACTAATTTAAATATATTCCTGAATAAAGAATACATTCATTGTCATTTAGCTGAAAAATATGCTTTCCCAACACCTCATCTTTATGTAGGAAGGATAAACATGGTAATAATGATAATCATTAAAATGATTATAAAAAACAGTAACATTCTAGTAGCAAAAAAATTCAAACTCAGAATCATTTGAAAGCATTATTTTTCCGAATGCTGAGGAATAACCATATTTTATATATATATATATACATATATATATATATATATATATATATCATCATCAAATCATAGATAAATACAGATAACTGAGATAATTATTATGTGCATATGCCATACAATATGTTGGTAGTATACGACAGACACAAAGAGTAATACCTGAGTTTACTTATCATTTATTTAGATATTTTTCTTGCTTTCCCATTATGATTATATTTGACAAAATTAAAGGCAAAATTTTTCACTGCTTCTTCTTAAAATATTGACTTCCTAATAAGTTATGTCAAGGGAAACTTCAATGTGGACTGCTTCAGTGGCTTGGTTATTTTCTTTCTTTTGTTTAAAAGAACCATTTATTTAGTTAGTTTTATTTTGTAGAAACATTGGCGGTATAGGCCAGAAGTCTGACAAGTGAGAAAATTCACCAGGGTCAGAGTGGGGAGCAGAACAAGTGGATTTACTGAAATACATAGCTAAGAGGAGTAATGGGAAAGAGAGGTTTGCTGTGTCATATGTGAGTAGCTCCCTGGCCAGGGACTGAACTCTGTTCATGATGGTAATAGTGCTGAGATTTAACTCCTATGCCACCAGGGAGACCCCCAATGGCTTGGTTATTTTCATAGGAAGACCCAAAACATATGGCAAGATTGCTGCTTTAAAGATACTCCCAGATTTCAGTTATACTATTTGGGTAAAAATACTATGAATATTTGTTATATTGATTATATAGAGAAAAGAAAAAATTTAAAGAGTTCCAGAATTTTATATCATCACAGATTTTTTATTTTTGTTTAGTTTATTAATTTATGAAAGAGGTGTGTTAAGATTTCATTCCCTGTGGATTTTTCTCTCTCTTTGATTATGGCTTGCTTTATATATATATTTTTTCTTTTTCCAAAAGTTTATTTTTACGTCATTTTGCACATTTTTTTTCCATCTCGATTGTAAGCTTTATATATTTTAATACCATGTGATTGAGTGCATAAAAATTTAGAATTCTATCTACCTAGTGTATTTAAATTTTTATTAACACTACATATCACTTTATGTAGAGTATTTCATTTTATCTAAAATCTACTTTGTTGGATACTTTGTTTAGCTACATTATATTTCCTTTGGGTTATTGCTTACATAGTGTTTTTCTTTCTATTCTTGTACTATCCATCATACAATGCCATAAACAATTTTAACTAAGATTAAGAATTATATGCATTACATTTGATATAATTTTAGGTATATTTGGGTTAGTATCTACCACCACATTATCTTGCCTTACCTATTTTATCCCCTTTCTCTGATTATTGCTCATATCCTGGATGTACCCAAATTTTATTATCCCACTTTTCACATTTAATAGTTAATTAATATCTTTCACTATTACTTTAATGGTTACCTTACAGATATTAATGCATGCCTTTAATTAAATCTGTCCTGATATAAATAACATATATATGGGCCCAATAACACGGTGTCAAACTACATATATATCAATTTTACCATTTTTCGAAAGTTAAGGTCATAGAAAATTTTTACGCTATTTGTCCTCTTAATGTTGTATTTTAAAGATAACCATTACCTTATTTTCCAGCTTCCCATATTTTTATTGAGATGTTAGAGAATAGTCTGATTGCTTCTTTGAAAGCAATATATTGTTTTATTTTTTTCTTTCTGGCTGTTATTGGAAATGTCCAGTTACCTTTGGTTTCTAACAATTTCAATAAGACATAATAGGTAAAGTTTTATTGGTATTTATTCTGGATTTTTTTTTTAAGATTTATTTATTTATTCATACAGAACTGGGGTACAGGC